GCTAATTCAAAATAATAAAATTCGCTTTTGGGTATTTCATGGAAATTGATAAATATTTCTCTTGCAGTCAGTGGTCATAAAATTTTCATAGCATACTTAATCGCGCATTTGTATGGCCATTTCGTTTTTGATTTAAATTAATGACGTTAGCTTCCATTGAATTTTCGCTAACGAAAACGAGTAAAATTGAGATATCAACTCTTTTTAAATGTTTTTTTATACCCTGCAGATGTTTTTAGTGTGAATAATGAGCCATTATTTATTTCGCTTTAATGTTAAATAAAAAGCATATTTAATAATTGTTATGAAAGTACCGAATTTTACAGAATATGGTAATATAATAACATTGTTTTATGAACACTTCATTTAGTTTCCTTTTGCCAAAAACTTAGAGAAATGTAGTTTTATTTTCCTCAAAAGATAAATAAATCGTTTTAAAAAGTCTATTTATTATGATTGATACGAGGGTAAAGAATTTCGGACAATATTTAAATATTCTATTATAAAGAAATCTGCTCTTTTCCGTTTTTCTTCTGTCAGAAATATTAGAGAAATCTCGCACTCTCCTTCCAGACGCTTTATTTTCCAGTCAAGTCCAGTCAGCTTAATGCCAAGCAGTCGCGAAACAACAACAATAATAACAACGCCTACAACAACAATGCGCCAGGAGAACAGCAACATAAGCGTAAGCACTTTGCACACAACAAAAGTCTCCAAACAAAAACAACAACTAAATCAACACTAAAAACAGAGCAGGGCATTAAAAAACAACAACAAAAAGGACGAGAGTCAAGCGGCGAGAGCAAATGAAAGAGAGGGGAAAATAAGGTGGAGAGAGTGAGCAAGAACTGCAGCTGAGAACATAGAATAAAAACAATACAACAAGAGAAATAAAAAATATAAGAGCAACAACAAAGTTAAGCTCAAACAAAGGCGCCGCTTGGAAAATGGGGGGGTTAAAGAAATAAGAGAAAGGAGGCAAAAGCCTCAAAGCGCCCAGCTAAACGCTCGTAAAGCTTTCAATTAAAATTAATAAAAATTTACGCCATTTAAATAAACACCGACTGGGTTCAGAAGCAGCTGGTCAGGACAGGTGCCACAAAGGTAACAGGTACTAATACAGGTCACACAACAGAGAGACAGAGAAAATGTCAAAGGAATTAATTATCCCTTGCTAATCGATTGATGGCAAGTTTTTACAAAAGTACAAGTATTTTGGAAAAATGTGTATGATATATCTGTTGAATTATTATTGATGATACAATTTCTTTTAAAATTCAAGAATCATTTTAATTTATAGGGAAACACTTTCCTAGATAGTTTAATGGCGGTGCTTAATTAGACTCAAATTTTGTTTTTATACGTTTTGGAAAAATGTTTTACTTTTTTATCCAGACCAATTGATTTTATTTTTTTATTAAAAAATAATCAACCTTATTCGCTTTTGATGACTCCAATATACTAGACAGTAGTAGTTTTTACTAAATTCATATATTTGTATTTCTGTAAAAACAATTTTTTGGTTTACAGCGGCCTTTTTTTGAAAATCGAAATTTAAAAACAAATACCTGCCCTCTATAAACTTTAAAATTATATTATACTCCACGTTTTTTTTTTATATATAATTTCAAATGTTTAAACAACAATAAAATACACGCATTGTTAAGCCTATTTGCGAAATTTAATTCAATTGGTCACATTTCTGTGACACATCGAAGCATTATGTTTTGCGCAACGTGCCGAATAGTTAATTGATTTTCCAATTAAGAATATTTTTTTGCTGTATTAAATTAAACATTTCTTCTGACAACAATTGATGCTTTAATTGCCCGATGCTAGCTCCTGAATAAACGTAATTTTTTAAACCAAATTCAATCAAATCTGCGTTTGCATAAATGGGGTTACACAAAACAAATGCAACTTTGAAAGCTCAGCGGACCGGGGCAAAAAAAAAAGAGGGAGCAGAGCAATATGTAACTCGCATCCGGTTACGTGATACGTTTAACGTGACATTCGCATCCTCCGTGGATGTCTGTCGGTGACACATTAACCTGGAATGGACGAACGGAGGAGGAGCACCCACTGTCCGCTGGATTATATAAATTGAATTGTTTGGTACAACATGGCCCTGGCCATTAAGCAGGAAGCTAGAGCGGAACCGAAAATACATACGAGGATGTGCGTGTGGATGGCGTATAGAAAGTAAGACGGGAAAAATCCCGGCAACTCCGGGGCATGGCGCCCTGCCGATCCAAAAGCCCTCGTAAGCCGGGCAATCGACAGACATAAAAAAAAAAAAAAAAGAAGGAAAGTAAAGCCAAGTGATTTCACTCGAGCTTCCTATGCCTTCGGTTTTGTCAGTTCCTTATGGATTTATGAGGCCCACCCGTCGAAGGTAAGTAAGTGGAGAAGCCCTCTCGCACTAATCAGACACTTATGTCGGATTTGGGACGTCCGGCGGCCAAGGAGTGCCCACACATCGGATACGTAATTTGAGCAGCGATGGAAAACGGAGCAGAAGGACGACATAAAAATAACAAATTATTTTGCTTATTTCGTTGTTTACGGTTCGCATTCAAATTTTGTTTTATGGACATTCAATGGCCAATACGAAGGAACATATAATGTTTCATCTGCATACATACAAATAAATACACTTGGAGAAACTAAGCACAAAGATTCCAAAAGTATTGGCGATTTTAAAGTTGCAGTTTAAAAATAAATTCTACGATGAAAATGCCTTAGCTTGGTTTTAATAATCCCAAACTATTTATCTTCCACCACGCTGAGATTGACAGTTTAACCCCAAAAACTTGACCATCTAAGATTTTGTTTTGGATTTTATACCATTTTGTTGTTCAGTGATGTATGTATGTGGGGCATACAGCTAGGATAGCCATTAAGAATGTTTGTCCCATTTATGATTCATGAATGCTCTTTGTTGCTGTCATCGGTCCAATGAACTGCCATCAAATAGCTGGCGTAACTTGAGCATCAATTTGGACTTGTTGCCTTCAATGTCTGGTCATTCTAAGAGTTTACTTAGCATCGCTTCAAGAGTATCGAGTAATTGAAATGTTGTTGATCTAACGGAAAACCAATGGAAGGTGTAGACACCATTAAAAGGAGCAACAAGATTTCAATTAGAATATGGACTATATTCGAAAATCTTGGGCTCATTTTAGAAATGGAGTTATGTATTAAATTGTGCAAATTAATCAGGGCTCAATCACTAAGCACAATTAATTTGATCAATTAGTTTATAATTAAACAGTTTACAACCTTCGACGAAAACATCCCAATTTAATAATCCATTTCCTGCATTTTAAACTATGAACGTTTATCGTTCGTAACGTAATCGCTATTAGTGACTGGTAATCGATCAGTAACAATTATTTTTTTGATCTTATCTTCTTAACCTGTAATTGGGTTTACATTATTTACTCTTTTATGCTTTCAATTTTAATCATAATTCCGATTAAAAAGTTGAACCTTGTGCAAAGAACACATATCAAGCTTTAATCATTTATTGTTCCATCTTCACCAAATTTGCTAAGTTTTTATGGTGTCCTTCTTAGACAAACAAACAAAAGTGTACCCCATCGCATTGACTATTGTGACTGGGTATCTGCAAAACCTTTCGTCCGTTGACGTTGGCACACCTGCATGGACCATATTTCTCCCCCGGAACACCTTAAACCCCAGTAGAATCCACCGTTTAGGTCGTGGGCAGTGGAGCGTCGAGGCAGCCAGTGAGGCAGTAAGGCAGTCAGCCAGTTTGCCGGTTAGCCAGTTTGCCAGTCAGCCAGTTTGCCAGTCAGTCAGCCTGTCAGCGCACAAATGGCGCCACAAATGTTTTGCCCTTTTTGCCCAATGGAAGGATACATTTGTAACTTCTATTGATTTTTAATGTACGCTTTCTGTTCTGCCAGCCAAGGCGTCGTCGTCGTAGTCGGTACTCGGAACAAGCCACCAAGCCATGAACTTTACGAGGAAGCCACCTACTTAGAGCCAGACTCCGTCCCTCGTCCTTCGTCCTTGGTCCTTCGTCCTGCTACGTCTCAATTTTACCCTCTCCGACTCTTTCCACGATTCGGTGGAGATGCGGAGATGCGGGTGGGTGCGAATTTTAATGCTTGTAGCTGAGAAACAAACAAACATGTCACAGTCGAGAGAACTGGCCGCAAATCCGCCATCTTCTTTGGCGATGCCATTGCCGTCGCATTGCTCCACTTGATAACTTAATGTCCCACGCATGCTTTCGTTCCACAACATCCACACACACACACATACATACGCAATTACCCGTACACACGGACAGACACTCCCGCAGACGGACAGCCATCCATCCGGACGGACAACTTTATAAACAAGCAGGCAAACAAGCAACTGAACTTGTCTTTCCGGAATGCCGCCTATGCATTTGCGTATTGGAGATGGGCGCGTGAGAGTTTTGATTGATGGCGGAGTAATTTCGGTGATCAGTACATCAGCGATAATATAGTTTTTGAAAAGTTAAAGCCAGGGATATCTTAATTATATATTATAAAAGTTGTATTATTTTTGGTAAAAACGATTTAGCTTTGGAAAAGTAAAAGATGGTCAAGTAATTACCTGAATTCTAAAGATCAATAAGTAAGTAAAGACATACTTATGAAATAAAAAAAAGTTTGAAATATCCAAACTATTTTAGAATAATATTCTTTGGAGAACTAATGGTTTGGCATGAAAGAATATTAATTCTAATTTATATCTAAAGAAGATGCAAGGGCAATAGCTGTCATTTTATGATCGATAAGAAATAGATCAGAGTGTTTCAAAGTAATTAGGCAGAGTAACTCAAAGCTATTACTTGGGCTAGTGCTTGAGAATACTCATAGCGTATTCCCGCCATTTTGTGTTTGAGAAACTGGCTGTAAACTAATTGGAATATCAATACATTTTGGTGATCGATTTAGCTAGCTTCTTAAGGATATTTTCATATTTTTGGCTCTACTTACGGTTGGAGAGGGCGCTCAGCGGACGCGTGAGGAGCGTGGCCATCAGGAGGAGCAGCATTACTGGCAGCAACGCCGGCGAACGTCCTTGGAACACTTGGTTTTGCTCCTGATGGCGATAAGCCTGTTGTTGTTGCCGCTCTCGCTGCTGTTTTTGCTGATGGGGTCGACGAGGAACCCCATCCTGAATCCTACACTGCAGCGGCATTTTAAGCAGAGTGCCCGGCCTGCAGATCGGTTTTCGATTATCGTTTCTCGGTTATCGCTTATCGCTAATTGCCAATCGCTCCGAATTCTCTGCTATTGCTGATGCTGTAAATGTCGATGCTGCAAAATCATTGATAGGGGAAACCCATTTATTTGGAAATCAAATTGGTGATGTCTTCACATGAAATCACACTTCAAACGAAATCGAAAATAGAACAACGTTTTTTAATGTATAGACTGTATAATACCCTAAGTTTATAAAGTTGCTCAAGAATAAAACAATAAGTATAAACAAATATTGATATATTTCATTTGTATTCTCTAAAGCAAGTTCTATAATGTAAATTTCTACGATATCATAACTTGAAGTAGAATGCCTTTTTCTCAACATGCCCTCATTCGTTTTCAAATAGCGGGTATAATAAAACAAATCCGTGTACAATTTAAATCAGACAATTGACAGATTTGAGCATTGACAACAACAAAATTGTAAGCACATAATAAATGTTTACACGTTCATTGTATTGTATTTACATGACAAATTTATCTGGCGCCATCGACGCGATTGTTAGGATGGGGCCACGGGGGGTTTATTATATTGTGAATTGGGTGGAGTTTGGTGGTTTTGGGGACGAGTGTGCGGTGGTGTTCTGATGGCCGCTGGGCGAATTTCACGGCCCAGCCTGCATTAACATTTTTTGTGGCGGTGAACTCCAAAGCACCACCTCTCTTTTTACGACATGCCAGACTTCGTGCACATCGTACAACTTATTCCGAAAAAGTTTTCAACGTGCCAGCATCACAGCGGCGACGTGTAACTCACTTTCGCCCACCCACTTTCGCCCCTTTCACAGCCTTGGAAATCTGGGTACATAACGCAGGATTTGTCGGGCATAAATGGCATTAATCAGTTTGCGGTTTACTTTCCCAAGTCATCCAACTTTTTGGTGGGAAAGTAAAAGTGCCAAACTGTAACTTTATCGTTTAGGCAAGATGCATATTGAAATCTAAGGGCATTACTGAGAGAATTCGTTTCAAATAATGTTATACTTTAAAACTATACTTTCAAACTAATTTTAAATCTCTTTAAATCTCTGCTTAAAAATAAAGAACAAATAATACAGCGAACATTTTTTTTTAAATAAGTGTATACCTTGAATAGACTGCCTTTAAATAATTTTTATTCTGCATTTTTCCAGTTATTCCTCTTAACAAATATTTAAGAGCATTACAATTTTCTTAAAAATAAAACCTTTGTCATAAGTGGTTTATCGTTTAAGGAACCTGGCGTCGAAATCATAGTTTTTTACTGAGCAAACACTCTCAGAAACATGGATATTGAACAGGTATAAGATACCAAACTTCAACTAAACTTTAGTTCTTCTACTCTCATTTGCATGGAATTCCCAGAAAATAGTTTCAATTTCAATAGATTGGCATTTGTTTGAGATTAAATTCCACAGAAGAATTTCTGACGCCTTGTGTGCTGCACCTTGCAGGAAATGTTCAATTAAACATCTGTCGATAAACCAGACTTAAAAAAATACAACGTGTCCTGCTTAAGGGAGTTTCCAAAGAAATAAGAGGATTAAAGCAACTGATGTTTACCGAATCCGAATCCAGTACGGATTGAATTTCGCTTTGACGTGTCACAAGGTTTTGGTTTATGTGAATCGAACACAAATTTAACACATTCATGATTTATGTGAAGTCATGTTAGATATTTTCTCAGAAATGAAATATTTACATATTTCCTGAATATTTACATAAGAAAAGCAAAGGGAAATCGACCGTAATTTCCAGGTACAACTTAATTTGCTTGATTAAAATTACAAGCCATATAATATTAACAATTTATGTTGCACAAAAGCAAGAGATATAATAATTTCTTCTTTAAATGTTTAAACTAGATATTTTAAAAACATATTTAAATGTCTATTGAAATGAAATATGGCATTTATATGTATTACTTATTCGAAATTGCCCCTAACCCTTTAAGTATCGTATCTTTTTCATATTGTTAAAAGTATTGTGGTTGTGGAATCCGCCAAATTAGCTGCTGTGAATGAACTTTGGCCAATGAATACCCGTGGAGCTAGGCTACACAATCGCAAAACCGTGCCACGTTTAATAGCCTTGCGGGGGATCTGCGTATTTGCTGGCAACTCGGGCATGAGTTAAGCAATCCTCGAGGCATTAAGTCTGCCCTGGGGTTGGTTAGACCAAATTGAAAACGAATTAAAATGAAATTTCAAACGCTTTGTGCCAAAAGTTTTAGTCAGCTTCTCTGCCGCGCCACACGCCGAAATACTTTGGCAAAGTACTTAAATTCCTTCTTTTTTTAAGCAAAACTTGGAAAGTTCTGCACGAGTATATACTCAGGTTTTTTCATTGCGTTCTATCACTAGAAAATGCAATTCCCATTTTGATTGGCTTATCAGATGGCAGCGCTCAACTATGTTGACGGACTTATAAACTTTAGAGCGATCATGCCTCTGATCACATTGACGAACTTTATTATTGGCACAGCAATCATGTTAAATATTAAAAATTTTGTTTTCAACCTAATATGCTGATACTAAAAAATGTTTTAAAAAGAATGACTAGTTCGCTGTTTAATACAAGTGACTTCATTTATTTATGTTTTGAAAGTAATAATAATTGAATATTACTTTTTGAACATATACGGCTGATTTCCTTTTCATTTGGAAAAACTTATGCTTTAATTTAAGGCAATAACAAGATTTTAGCTAAAGAAATTATAATTACACCATTTTGGGTATAGAGCCAAATCGACTTTAGCAGAAAAAAATTGCCAAATGGCAATTATAATTAAATTCGTCACTGTATGTACCAGAATTTTTGTCGGTTTTTTTGTAAATCAGCAAATTTCACTAAAGTCTTATAACATTCTTTAAGAAGCACGTCTCTAACACATAAGATTCAGTTAAACTGTTTGCCACGAACAGGATTTAAAAAAAACAAGAAAGGAAAGCTAACTTCGGACGGAGCCGAAGTTGATATACCCTTGCAGAATATTTTGTAAATTATATTCTTCAAAATTATTCATTTGATGCATTCTTAATACTCATAAAAAGTCCCAATTTCCTAATTTTAAAAACACCAAAGTTATGGCATTTTCAATCGTTCAGTTATATGACAGCTATAAGATATAGTCGGCCGATCCTTATGAAATTCGGTATGTCGGATTGATTGGCCAAAAATAAAACCCATAGAAAATCCCAACTTCTTAACTTTACAAACACCAAAGTTATGGCTTTTCCGATCGTTCAGTTATATGGCAGCTATATGATATAGTCGCCCGATTCGGCTCGTTCCGACTTATATACTACCTGCAATAGAAAAACAACTTTTGGGAAAGTTTCAAGCAGATAGCTTTAAAACTGAGGGACTAGTTTGCGTAGAAACGGACGGACGGACAGACGGACGGACAGACGGACGGACAGACGGACAGACGGACAGACGGACAGACGGACATGGCTAGATCGACTCTCGTGGTGATGCTGATCAAGAATATATATACTTTATAGGGTCGGAAATGTCTCCTTCACTGCGTTGCAAACTTTTGACTGAAATTATAATACCCTCTGCAAGGGTATAAATATGTTTAAAAAATGTGTCAACGTATAAAGAGTTCCAGACGTGTTTTTAATTTTTATTTTTTGCTTCGCTGGGGTTCAGGCATTTTACGAGTTCCCCCACTTTGCATTGTTAAGTGCAGGAGTGTCAAATTGACAGCAGAAAGTACTAAAAATATAAAAGTTTAACGCAGGTGCTTTCACCCGTCCAGTGGTTTGAAATATGCTTGTAAAAAGAAATGAAAAACATTTTTTTTCGGTAAGCTGGAGGCGGTGCTAACATGGCTGATAATGGTGAATTTTATATTGATATCACGAACTGCACTAAATCATCAATTAAATGATTTTATGATGCCATTTGGGGTATTTTTCCTCCAGGCACTTTTGAGTGCGGCTTCTGCTCTATATCTCTTGCCCCGCCCCTCTTTGCTTCCTATCGGATCTGCTTCTCGTGTTTCTGTTCTACAGTTTAAATTCCGTAAGAGGCACCTTGTTGAGATTAAATCCGAAACTTAAATTCCAATAAATTATATGCAATTTAGTATTATTTTTTGAAAATAGGTAAGAACACTAAATATATATAAAACTGATAAGTTTGATTACAAAATTTTGAGAAATGTATGGCAGCACAAAATGTTTTTGTTAAAAAAGATAACATATTTGTTATGGGTTAAGCCAAAATTAGTTACTTAATTCCAAATTGCAACTTAAAATATAATTGTATATTTATGTATTAAAAATACTTAAGCGTGGCAAGTTCAAATTTAAATATTTAAGTTGGGGCTGTACTATAAATGAAAATAAATTATGACTTGTGTTTGCGGCTTATCTTGGGTTATCTCACAAGAGTATGTTTTTTTTTTAGAGGTTTCCTAAATTTGTTCGATATTTTTGAATAGAAGGTTTCACTTGGGGAAGTTCGCCTGTACTTAATTTTTTTTTGGGCAACACCTGAGGCCATTTTGCCGCGGCCAAGATGCCAACGGTAATGGAGAGACTAACGGCAACGGCGAACGACAGCAAAAACAAGACCAACTCGACGGAGCGACGGAAATGCAACACTTTTCCTCTTACGCTTCCGTTTTTTGCAAATTCGCGTTTGTTTTACTAGCTTTTGTTCCTGTTATTTCTTGGACTCTGTTTGAGCAACGACAAAAAAAACAACAAAAAAAAGTGGAGCACAAAATCGCTAAAAAAAAAAAGGGGGAACACAAGACATTACCAACATCAACACAAACACAAACAAAGCGCCCGCCGGATTTATAATGGCAAAGTAAACAAGCTTACGAGTCGCGCGCGACTTTTGTCCCGTTAGTTGGCTTTTTATTTTTTGCGCGCGCTTTTTTGGCGCGCTTCGCTTAGCTAGGACTTCGACAGAGTAGTCGCGCGGGCAAAGAGCGAGATTGGAGAGCACGTCCTACGCCAGCCGAACGCAGAATGCAGCCGACAGCGCAGCCAGCAGTGGCTTTTATATGCGCCGCCAGCCGAGGACTCGACATTCTTTCGTTACCCTTCGGCTCTAAACTTCGGCTCCTGCGAGACGGAGGCAGAGAGAGAGGGTAGGATGAGGTGGCAGTGGGGCAACAGTGGGAGTGGGAGAAAGAATCTGGGGGAGCGGCTTCGGCTCGTTTAGCATATGTCTGCTGCCATCGACATGGGCATCACTGGTGCACATGTGCGTGTGTGTGAACAGCGGTGTTCAGGATGATAGTTGACTTCCAGAAATCGAAAAAAAATATTGTTTTAGCCAGTAAAATTTTTTTTTTATTTTTGATAAAGTTTTTATTTGTATTAGGGCATCGTAACAACATTTATAGTATTACGAAAATAAAACTTAAAATTATTAATTCCAAAGGCAAATATGAGTAACCTTTAAAATCAAAAATTTCTTCTAGCAAAGTCGATCATTAGGAGCACCACAAACTAAATTACCTAAACCGTTACAATTTAAATAAGATACCCGAAAGCGGTTTAAACATATTTAGTAAAATAAAGTAATATTTAAAATTCCTACTTAAATCCTTTATGTGACCACCTACTAGTTAATTGTCCTTGGCTGTAAGTGAGTGTTTGCATATTTGCTTTATGAATGTGTTTACCAGCAAACTTTAACGCGAGAAAGAGATGGGAGACCGGAGAAAAGAGAATGCAGGGGGGGGCGAGCGAGAGGTGAGTACGAAAGTGCCAACACTCGCATTAATGACGCCAACAACAAAGGCAACAATTTGAATTGTAAGCCAGCCAACAGCTCAATTAACTATCCGTCCGGCGGATCGTCCTTCCGTCCCTGTATGCCACCGTGTTCGTGTTGACTTTCTCTCATACGCATAATTTCCATTATTTTGGCAATTACAAGGATGTAATGGCAATTGCATATGCTTGATATTATTTAACCCGTAACCCGCAATGCCATCTCTTTCTGGCGCCCTGTGGAGTCAAATATGAAAAATGCACTGCAACGCTCTGGCATTGTCAGAATCTCAATTATTAATGCAGCATTTTGCACATGTACAGGTCAAATTCCAAGTGAAGAACATCCCTATTTGTTTCTCTAAAAGTATTTAATGATTTATACTAGGAACGAAAATAATCGTTATTTCAGACTTTTTTTTCTGAGAGACTTAGGTGACTTTCACTTGTAAACGTCACAAATAAAAAACTTTTTACTTTTATTTACAAGATTTAAAAAAATCAGCAAAATTGAAAATCCAAATCAATTTAAATTTTATGACCCCACAAAGTGTACAATAATCAGTTAAATTGATAACAAAATAATGTAACGAACAATGTTTTTTAACCACAACTGCTTAAAATCTAAACTGCAGCTGCGTACAAAATCTAAAATTCAATTCTATGGCATGCCGAACATGATTCGGTCGACTAAATATCTCGTAAAATCCATAAAAACACGAGTTTTCAGTTTCCAGTTCAGGTCAACCGTTGGCGAAATAAATGAATAAATACAATTCTTAAATATATATATATAGTTCTCTAGAAATCGATGACAGTTCAAGATATGAAAGTTGGACTGTGCTTGTGTGTTTGCCTGCTGTACATCTGTTTGTTTGTGAGTGCTCCTCGGCGAGCAACATAAAATGAGCAGCAAGTAATTTACATGTAAACAGGTTAAGGGATAAGTTCATCACATGTAAATGGATACGCCTGATTAATGGCAAATATAAACGACACACAGGGACATCGACATCTGTGTGTGCATGTGCGAGTGGTCTGTGTTTATTCGCTTTTTGCCTGGCCTTCATTACATCCGATATTCTGGTATTTTGGTATTCAAGTGTCACCATAACAATCAGGGGTGAATTTATTTATTTACGATTACATATAAAAACGAAATTGACACATTCTGGTGTTAGCAACTAATTTTGGAAAAGTAAGCAATGGAACTTCTTTTTTGATGCCACTTGTTTTAGGTATATATGTACAAGTTGTTTACCACTATTACAATTACTTATTAAGTAAATTAGTAAGTATTTATAATTTTCATAATTAGCAATAAGTCAGAAAAGACTTTTTCTGTTTCTTTCCGATATATGAGAATATATGCATGATTGATGTTATCATCATTAAACTCACATTTTATCCTTACTTTGAGTACTCCAAACCCAAGCAGTTATGGTATAAAGAAAATGTTCAATCTTACTTGTAATTGCTTCAACTTTTTACCAGGACCACCAAACGTTAGAAACTTGAATCGAAGTCTCCTTCAAAGGTGAACCACTCAAACTTGAACTTCCAGTCAGGGCTGCATATGCGGGCCAAATTCGATGCCAAGTTCTGGCCAAGTTAGTAGTTTCATAAGCGACCTCAAGCTGAACAGCTCAAACTTGAACTGCTTCCCTCTTGGCCTCGCATGTGAGGTAAGGCGAGGTAATTGAGATGGATCTGGGATCTGGGCTGGTTGGCAAGACATCCCACTTCCCGCGGCTTCACGCAACAAACATACCGCACCTGCCGCACTTTCCCGGATCCGGCTGCATTCCGTCTTGGGAATTTTGTGTCACCCGGCCGGAGTTTGGGGAAACGGGGCGACTGACAAGCCTCGACATTCCTTCGATACCTCAAATTGGGTTGGTCCGTGTGTGTGCACTGGAAAATAAATAAAGCATTTTTATATCATTATATATAACTTTTCCAGAGCCGTTTACAACTAAACATAAATTACTATTTACAATAAATTACTTAGAGATTTTTAAAGGTATTACTTTTTTTTATATTTCGTGAGACCCCACATACTTTTCTATTTTTATTCGCTTAGATAGCCTAAATATTTGTTAATATTTTTTCTAATCTTTAAAATAATTATGAAGCAACTTAAGATTTTCTTGAGCTCACATTAATTTAATTTAATACATATGTGTTTCTCTGAAATTCAATAATTTCGAAAAGAATAAGACATAATAAAAGCACCAAATATATATTTCAAAAAAGTTCTTAAATGATTTGGTAGAACAGCAGAAAAAAAAACCTTTTTTCCGTGTATGCATAGCTTTTGCAGTTTGCATACATTTTGCATGGCTGGGATAACTTCTGGGTTCATTGACAATGGCCACCACCCATCAAAATCCCCCGTATACCTCGCAGCCTCAAGGATTTTCGGGGAACATGTCTCGCATTTCACTTTCACAACTTGCCAACTGGCAAAGCAAGCAGATAGAGATAAAGAATTCATGAATACATCCCGAGAAATGCAAGAGGGAGGTATACATATAAAATATATAGACGAGCAGGGGAACGAGGAAGGACGACATCGAGGAGTCAGCGAACAATTTGTATTCAAACGATTTGAGAGCTCTCCAGAAAGTAACATCATTAAAAAATTCTTCATCGCCGTGAGTAGCTTGACTCGGCTTCATTCTCAGGACCTTTTCTGCAAGCCGGGAAAATCGCTCCCCAGAGGCCTTCATCATCTTATCCGTCCCGCTTGGCGTCCACTTTCACTCCCATTCCCGCGGGAGCCATGGGAACTTCATTCAAATGCAATATTTCGAAAGCGGGCGTATTGTTGTAGAATATATATATGCTTACATATATATGTACGTATACGTATTCGGCATGTGACATTCCGTCGCAAATACCGCGTTTATGCTATAAAATTTTATGATCTCTGAAATATGCAGCATAGAAAATTCGAAAAATGAATTCCACCTAAAAAACTTGTGGACACACCAGCTGAAATAATTTTATTTAATGTTGGGTAAGACCGCTTTTAAATACTTTAAATATAACCATTAGAGCAAGCATTTATTTATTTATATTTAATACAAGAGAAAGGACCTTAAAGGTATTGAATCAAAATTAAAATACAAACATATTTGAAGTATTTTAACATTTTCAATAATTTTTATTAAGTTGTAATCCATGTATAATTATTCTTAATTACTGAGGGAAATTAATACATTTTTTCTGAATTTTATTTCTTAACGACTTTTGAGTGATATGGTCATCTAAAAATTTTGTAGCATACATTTGTGGGCAGGTAGAATTCGTAATGAATAAAATGAGCAGCCTAAGTGCGGCATAAACGAAGCTGCAGAAAACGAAACAGAAACCAATCCGGCCCCAAATCCAATCCAATCGAGAGCTCGTTACCTTTCCGCTGCCATTTCGATTCTCGCTGCAGGCTGTCAATCGAAGTTTACACGGGATATCGATACCAGCTTCCCGGGAATCAATTGGTAAGTAGAAGCAGTGGTAGTGGCATAGGCCATGGGGCACAGGACCAGGAACCGAAACAGAAAGCGGAGTGAATCCAATAGAAAGTTTCGCCTGCACCGCAGTAGCAGCAAAAGAGCCGTTGACTGGCAGCTCGGTTAGCTCGGTTCAGAGAGCTCACACGTAAAAAAATCAACTTCATATTTTGTATCTTATAATTTATAATAAAAGGCTCACTTTGATATTCCATCGCATCATTACGACATTGCATACATATATTACATTTGATATTTAAAAAAGATATTTCAGAAAAAAAGATAGCAAGCTTCGATCCTTCGTTGGCAGATATAATATAGATCATATATGAATAATTTAAATTTATTTATTATAAGTTGTCAATATAAACTTTTTTTTTAAATCGGTAAAAATTAGTATGTACATATATTCGAGTCTCCTTAAATCGAAATATTTTAGTGGCAGTTACGGAGGTTTGACAGTATTGACATGATATCCATATGATCAATATTTTGTTATGAATTAAAATGAAATCTTTCGCTGATTGCAAATCAATATTTTTTTGTGTGCAGAGATTCCGATGGCTCAGAGGTTGAGCCGGGGTCAGAGAAGGTTGCCATCGCTGCCAGGCAAATAGCTAAAACATTTCTGCCAGGTAACTTTTTAATTAAAGCTGGCAACGGCTCGGGGGAAGTGGTGCATCAAGCTACTTCTTCATCGCCATCATCATTATCAT